TTAGAGACGCCTGTTCTAGACCGGCGCTAAAACAACCTCGGCTAAAGCGGGTGTTAATGCGTTGCGCACCCTTCAAAAAAAGAATGTTAGCCTTACTTGACGATAACACCCTTATAAACACCCTTTAAACATAAAGGGTGTTGTATTATACAGCAGTCTAGTTTACACAAAAAAAAACAAAAAAACCTGCATTAGGTTGAAATAAGGGTGCTGAAAGGACGTAGAGACAGGTGTACGTCTCTGGAACAGATTTTACATGCTTAATGGCTTAAAACCTTCCTAACGTGTACGCATTTTTAGACTATAAAAAAGCGTTCTGCACTGTGTCCGAAGTGTTGTCATTACACAACAAAGTTCTTAAACATTAACACTGCGAACTGCATGTGGATAAAAGCGTATTATTTATTATTGCGTCGCCAATGAGTTGTCTAATATTGTGAAGCATCTACTTTTATTGAGATGACATCTGAAGTGCAACAGTGCTCTTCGGTTCTGGTACAGTTGTTATTTTTATTATTCGTTAATGATGTTGCTGTCGGCGTGAGTTAAAAAGTAGGATTGCTAACCGGCGAGCGTGTTGTTTCCGAATGTTAGCGTAAAAGTGAAATTTCATACAAATCTGGGCTAGTTAGTAATGCATAGCTCTCCTACATTAATAACACAGAAAAAAATTTAAGAGACCAGCAACATGGTGTACACGGACAGTCCAAGCCAGTTCAGGAGCAAGGGATACGCAGACATGTTAAAGTCAGCCTGCGACACAAAGTTGCACTTTGACTTGACTAGACTCATACAGTGGTGTAATATGATGATGATGTAGCGCGACGTAAATAAAGGTGAGCATGCCAGTTTTACTCGAAGAGACAAGAATCAAATTAAAAATAAATTTTAATTGAACGATGATTGTGTACCCAAAAGTAAAAAATTAAAATACCTAGAAGTCACGCTTTCAGCTCATTGTACATAAAGCTCAAGCATAGTCGATGATGTTACGAGAGCAGGACGAGAACTTATATGTTTGCGCCGAAGTTTTGAGGAAATATGAATTCAAAATGCAAAAGAGGCCTCCATCTTGCCTAAGTACGTACGTCCAGTTTTGAAGCACGCCTACAATGTCTGGGACTCTTCTAAAAAAAAAAAAAAAAAAAAAAAAAATCGCACTCAAAAGGTAAAACGAACACGAAACCGCGATGCCCGCTTTGTGTTGGTATGGTGCGACCGTTGATCAAATCATAAAAAAAAAAAAAATTGGATGACATTTATTGTTACTCATTCGAAAAGCCATTACACTTGGAGTCTTCATTTTGTGTCTATTATAAGCCTAAATTATTAATAGTTTGTCTTATTTATTTCTTCCAGTTTAATGTCACAACATAAATAAAAACCACATTCATTCAGTACACTAACTATGCAGCGAGACATGAATTAGTTAAGCTTCTTTTCTTGTCAACACCATCAAGGAATGAAATGCTCCGAGTCTTAAACTGCTAAAACCGCACCGCGGACTTTTTTTTTTCATATTTGCTTGTGCTCTGTGATAATGCCTGATCACGCTGCAGAATAAAAGGAAAATAGAGAATAAAGAACCAATTATTCTTTCTTCCCGTGCTTTGAGTACTTCCCACCCAGAAGAGTTTGAAAGTACGGAAGCGATAAAACAGTATCAGACTGGGGCGGCGGAGAAAAGCCCACCGGAGAAAAGCTCACCGGAGAAAAGCTCACCGGAGATAAGCTCACCGGGGAAAAGCTCACCGCAAAACCGGCAGATGCGGAGGAAAGCTCACCGATTTTATTTATATTAGCGGATTCTGCGTGAAACGAGGCAATTTAACACAATTTGCATTAGTCACTTCATTAAACATATGTCTTTTTTTTTTTTTTAATATTCTTAAAGTTAATAAGCATGCTTACTAATTCCTCAGAAATTAGTAATCACCCATTCTGTATACTAATGACGCCGCAAGTATAAAACCAGAATATCGTACATCGGTTTTGCGGTGAGCTTTTCTCCGGTGAGCTTATCTCCGGTGAGCTTTTCTCCGGTGAGCTTTTCTCCGGTGAGCTTTTCTCCGGGATTCATCAGACTGATACTTCATTATGAAGCATGAGTGATAAACAAGCAGGCGGCAACCTTGTCTCTTGTTTTTTTTTTTTCATTTTTTGCCTGAGTGTGTGCTACAAGAAAGGCTCCTTGCCGTACAGGGACTATTTGCCCCAGCCGAATATCTAATCGGCCATATCTCCTAGTTCACATTAGTAAACGTTTCTTGCTGAAATTGTGATTTTCTTTTTATTGGGGTTGATAGTCGTAGAATGCAGTCTTTATTTTTTATTTCTACAGGGGTTGGTTTTGATACTGAGATGTCAACCTACGGGGACTATTGTTTAGGGGTAAAAGCGCTAAAAACGACGGACGAGTAGGAGAGACACACACCACAGAGCGCTTACTTGTCCGTCGTTTTTAGCGCTTTTACCCCTAAACATGTTCAACCAACTAGCCCAAATCCAAACCCTTCTGGGGACTATTGTATCTATACACTCGTTAATTGTCACCTCAAGAAAAAGGAAGTGTTGCGCCTTATTCACGCGCTGCGGGAATTAGTTCTTACAAGGTTTGATTGTTAAAGGAAGGAACGATGCTTTCAGCGTTGGGGAACATTATATATATATATATATATATTACAGGTCACGTGACATACTAGGGCGTTGCGAAGTGTTCCGTACTTTGGAATCTCCTTGAGAACTCTCTCTGTAGCGTTCTATCCGCTGACCTATTTCAATCAGGACTTGCCCACTGCTTTGCGGCGGCCCCTTTTAATACTTATAAATGTTCTTGCGACGACATGTCTCAAGTATAGCTGTGCTTCAAGTGAACAGGACAATCTCTAAAAAAAGAGCAGCGATTTTTATACGCATCGCTTGAAATAAAACGTCTTTTTCGAAAGCTAGTCTTTATTTTTCTTTTTAAACAAAACGGGAGGACAGCTAATCTGTAACAGGCTTGAGCTGAGTTAGTTGGTTCATAGCTCCCTTAAAGGTCAGCTGAACTGGAAAAAAACATACACATTAAGAAAAGACCATTCACACCGTTGAACTAACAACTGATTTTCTTTTTCTTCCTCTTCTACTAAGAGCCCCACTTGAGGGAACAATTGTTTTTTCCTCTTTTTTGCTTCCTAATTCACCTTAAAATTTTTACCCTCGAAGAAATATTTTTTCTTTCTCGTGCAGCACGAGAGAAGGTGCACTAAGGCAGTCATCGCCTTTTTCCTCAATGGCAAGTGCCTCTAGGATTTCACATCCCAGTTTTTTCTTGCTCCTTCCCAGTTTTTTCTTTCTCCTTGCTCCTTGCACGAAGTACGCGCAAGTCGTACTTCGCAAGGCTTGGACGGGGGTCGCCCTCACCGGGCAGCTAAGTTATATTCCGCTCACCTATGGTGGCAATAAAAGCTCGCATTTCTTCTTGAGAGAAACAAACCTGCGGGTGAACACACGGGACCGCGCTCCGCGCCGTCGACGAGGTTGGCCGCCCCATGTTATCAGCTTTCACTCGATCCCGCATCGAGCACCTTCCCATGATCCTGCCCGTTCTAAAATTCGATATGACCTCCGTTTTGTAAGGGCTGAATGAATGCGCATCCGCCGTCTCGATATACTTCTGTCTAGCGACTTGAATGCGATGCGCTTCCTTAGCGCATTGTGCCGTTTACATGACCGCATTGAATACGACAATTACAGTCGATGCGACTAAGTCGCATTCATATAAACGTGGCTCTATATTTATTTTGCTGTCCTAGGTTCCGCAGCATGGCGTTTGATGACCTTTTTATTTTGACGGAAGTAACTGTTAAAGGAGCGGTGCAACGATATTCATTTGGAATGTTTTTTTACTTTACGAGAGCTTACTGGCACTAGTGGGACTCAAGGATACTCGCACGCAACTCCGCTGGCCAAGAAACTCCTTCGTTGCTGTGTAATTTTAAGGACGAAATCAATCATTTTCATTGAATCTCTCTTTTGCCAAAATTTGATGACCTAACGTGGGGATCACAGTACACCCCGGTGACGATATTTGAATGCGGTTCAGAGATTGGACCCGAGCATTGCGTAGCACTCGATTCGGGCTCGTGATAATTACGCTCGAGAAGCATTCGGGTAGTGGTCCGTGTCCAATCGCTGCAACGACGACAATAGCCGAGTCATAACAATGTCTGGAACTCAGCGCGTGTCCTGTGCTTTGCCAACCCCAACGCGTGGCTATGATCAACATTGGCGGCATATAATCAGCTCCTGATCACGTGGCCACTTGTTCTGGCTGTGAGTTGTGGGAATAAGCGCTGCTTGTTTTTCTTTTTTTTTCTGGGACTTCTATTGCAAGGGGTGAAAAACGAACGCCTGTTTCATAGGTCATTAATTTCAGGGATCCGTTCTAAGCGGGATTTTCGCAAAGTACGAAAATTGTTGCATGGCCCCTGAACAACTGGGAGCTGTGAAATTTTTCTTCTAAACGCCGGTCTGAATCAGGTCGCGATTGGTGTAACCGCTGACCTAACCGGTTTTTTTTTTTTCGAATCCATCACTGAACCGCGGAAGCAAACCAGAATAAAATGCACATACCCCTACCCAAACAAAACCAGAATAATGACCGGTTCGTCTCCCAGGTGTATAACATATTTCTAGCTTTCCTGTTGTCGCACTTTTTACGCACATGTTTTATCAGTTGCTTACCCTTTGGCGTTTATTTTCTTTTGCACTGGACTTTAGGTTTGCTCGCGGTATGGTGTGTTGAATTGTATTTTTGTTCGTGCTTGTTTTCATTGCAGATTTCTTACTTTGTCAGCTCCCTCCTTAAATAACGCCCATAAAGAAGGGCCCCCAGGGAATGAATACATTAAATTGAACATAAAAAAATAAAATCGAATACCCGCGAAAAATATTTGTTTGCCAGATCACAACCAGGTTTGCACAAATAAAAAGTAAAAAAAAAAAAAGAAGCTCACCGTTGTATTGCGGACCATGATGTCGCCTTCAAAAAGATCTGGAAGACAGAAAGAGCAAGCTTGACTATTTGGAGTTCAATCAAATCCACCTGCCGAAGAAGAGTTTGTCTCACAATGAGCTGTAGACGAGATTACATTCATACACTCGTTACACCTAGCCCGGCTAAATTTATTAATGGACTTACCAGATAAACGTCATCCAGAGATGCCCTTATAACACTAGCTTTTATACTTCAAGTTATATAAAAATACCTACTACAAAGGGGAATGTGCAATTTCAGTTGCTTGTGTGTTTCTTCTGCAAGAGCTGGACGTCTATATAGTAGCGATGTAGAACTAGAACCTAATATAGCTGTCAATTTCCGAAGCCGTCCTCGGCCATGGCCGACTAGTCGAGAGCAAGATTTATACATAATGCGTTACTTGTAATCCATTGCTTGTTATTCAATTTTTTTAACGCTTTAATTTTTTCTCTTATTATGAATAATTCTACCAATTAAATTATCTTGTTTTTTATGCTCTCAATTTTTTCGTCGGCCTGTCAGAATGTGGAGGCCGGAATCCTCTTGGCGGTCATTCTACAGGTTATCCCACTCATTTTAATCCAAAGGGTGGTGAATTTAACCCGAATGTCATTCAATTTAATTCAAGTACCATTCAATTAGTCCCAGCGCAATCAAAATTAATCCTGTGGTCCGTCAATTCAATCTAGAATATACACATGCTAGTTTTTTTTCTTGTGTTTCGCTCTCACGTTTGATAAATTAGAGTAATTGTTTATACATTTAGATTTTGTTGGGGACTACTGATATTTTGATAGCGATTTCAATCTCTTGGAGTTACTAGTAGCACGACTGACATGTTGATTAGTCTTTTCGTAACATGGGGATATTAGTGGCGCACTCGATTTTACTTGAGTTGAACTGACATTTTGTGTACTTTTCTCTTTACTTTTACTTATTAATGATACAGTTCAGATGAAATAAGTACAACTGCTATTTATTATAACTCTTTTCGTTACTTCTCGCTATTGACACCGCTGACTTAAAGCGTCACTTCTAATTACTTCTACCTATTAATACACAATTTAAATGATGATAGCTCAACAAACATTTTTCATTAGGCTCATGGAAGTGAAAACTGCTGGTTAAGTTACGGTGTTAGAGGAGAGTAACATAGAGGACGAAAACCGGACGACACGCTTCTCCGTCTATATAGTAGCGAGTCGTCCGGTGTTTCTCCTCTATGTTAATGTTTCATTACTTTCTCAATTACTTTGAGGAACTATTGAGAAAAATAATTTGGTAGAAGCTCCTTCGAAATTCTGATTACTTTTTTGTTATATAGGTAATATAGACAGAAACAACTTATTCAAAGCAAACTTTTAGTTTCTCAGTTGATTACATTGAACTATTATTGGCATAGGCGACTTCATATAAGTTCAGTTAATACTTGGATTACTCCTTTGGTTAATACGTGTTACGATTCACACAGTTGACTTTAAATTAACGCCATTCACTTAGTGGTTACGAAGTTAATTGGGGCAAGAACCAGACTGAGAGCAGTGAAGTATCTGGGGTACGTGCTTGACAAAAATGGTCTTCGATCGCCTCCCGAAAAGGTGGAATCGGTCAAAAGCGCCCCCCCCCCCCTTTCAAGCTAAGAGGTTCACGAGCTTCGAAGCTTTTTGGCATGCTGTGATCCAAAGAATATGAACAGTTTGTGAGAAAAGCTAAGGAGCTTCTTTGGGGTGCCGCTGTTTTGACGTTGTATTGCCCAAGTGAACCTGTTCGGTTGACCTGCGATGCGTCTAATTATGGCTTAGGAGCAGTTTTGGCTTATGATGTAAGCAAGGTTGTTTTCAGACTGGTCGAATACGCCTCAAGGATGCTGACGACTACCGAACAGAACGACTCACAAATAGAGATAGAAGCGCCTGCCATCGTATTCGGCGTCAAGAGGTTTCATTAGTACATTTTCGGGAGGAAGTTCACACTAGTAACAGACCATCATCTTCTCACCACACTTTTGAAGCGAGGGCTCAAGTCAACCGGCATGGCAGCTGCACGTACACAGTAACGGCGACTTCTGCTTGTAGAGTACGACTTTGTGATCATGTTCGCAGAAGGTATCAGCACTGGTCACGCCGACGCCTTTTCAAGGCTTCCTCTAGCCGCGAAAACTGAAGACTATGGCCAAGTCAACTACTTTTCATCGCTCGAGTATGTTCCTGTCACCAGGGGGTCAACGCAGCAAGAGACAAAGAAGGACCCACTACTGCCTCGGATTATCGAACTTACAAAACGTGGATGGCCTAAGAAAGTAGACGACCCGGACTTAATTCCCTTCGTGAAAGGGATGCTGAACCGAAATTTTGGGTGGAAATTCTTGGTCGCAATGGCATGCATAGCATGTCCTTTACTTCTAAATGACGTTGTTTTGAGCGAGAAGGCGTATAAAATTGAATAAACACGAAAAATACAATCTTACGCGACCCCTGGTGAGCGTCGTGGAAAGCTCGCTTCGTGACGTGCGCATTCTCATTCGCCTCAAAAGACAGACAAGCCAAGCCAGGCGCTAAGCCGGGTGGCTTTTGTTATTGTTAATACCACGCGGGCTCTGCCCGCGTGGTACTAGTGCCAGGCGCTTTGAGAACAGCCACCGAGCGAAGAATCAAGGCGAGCACCAACGAACGAGGAGAATGCGCAGAGGCACCAGGGGTGCTGGGGGCGCCGAGAATGTGCACGTCAGTTCCGCTACGCCTGCTCTCAGAAGGGCTCACTCGCGCCGGCGGCTTCCGGCCGAGGATTCGCACTTAATTCAAAGAAATACAATAATTCGTGCCCCATCCGTCTGATTGAATATCGTTTTTAGGTACAGTACCATCCCGTGAAACCCGCTCGGGCAATAAATATGAGATTTCAAATATCGGTTCAGCATCCCTTTAAGAGAAAAGATGCGCTGTCTACTGAGACCAGGACTGCTTGTTAGGGGGACGCGAGTGGTTATTCGGAAAGCTCTGCAGAATGTGGCCATCCGTCTTCTGCATGAAGGACACGCAAGAGCATCTAAAATGAAGATGACTGCTAGACACCACGTCTGGTGGAGTGAACTAGACGCTGCCATTGAGAACCTGGCGCGAACGTGCGACGTCTGTCAAACAACGCAGAACAACACCTCCCGTACGCCTCTTCAACCTTGGCTGCTGTCTACTAGGGGGTTCGAACGTGTGCAGCTAGACTTCGCCCAGAAGGACCAATCGAACGTTCTAATCCTAGTGGATGATCACTCAGAATGACTGGGGTCTGTCTTAATGCCTTCTACGACCACCGGGCACACCATCGAATACCTGCAGGTTACATTTTCACAGATTGGATTGCCAGAAGAAGTGGCCACCGATAATGGACCGAAACTGGTGTCAGAAGATTTTCCATCGTTGCGAGAAAGCGGAATCCTGCGCACGACTAGGCCTCCTTACCACCCGGCATCCAATAGACTGGCTGAACGTGCAGTTCAAACGGTGAAGAAGTCCCCTCTGAAGCAGCTACTCGAAAACAGGATACACGGTGACAAGAGGAGTATACAGTTAAAGATATCAAAATTTTTGTTCCAATACCGAACAGCTCCCCATGTGGTAACTGGAAGTACGCCGGCAGAACTCTTTCTTAAACGCTTGCCACGAACGCGTCTCGTTTTGCTGAAACCCGGTTTCGTTTATGCACGGCATGGAAAGCAACATGAAGCCAAGAAGAGAGTTGAAAAGCATGCAAGGACGAAGAAATTTAAGGTGTAGGACAAAGTGTGGGTGCGAAACATAAGAGGGGAGGACGTAGGATGGGCAAGGGGTAAGGTCACGAAGAAAATTAGTGCTCTCACATTCAAGGTGCGAGTTGCTGGTAAAAATTGCTTTGTGCGCGGTGAGCACCTGAGGCCAAGAGCCTTAAACGGTTCGGCGAAGGAAGGAACTCGCCAGTAGACAAGGGGGGACAGAAGCGGCTACGGATAGATAACTCGAATTCGGATTCTGAGAACCACTCCGATAGTCCGTACGATGAAGCACCTTCTTTTACTGGTTATTTTGTGACGGCTACGCAAAGTGAACCAAGCGCAAGCTTTGAGTTAATATTCAACCAATTTATTTATTATGAGCCCAATAGACATGATATTCACTCTGTATATTACTTTGAGGTACTATTGGCATATGAAGTTCAATTCGGCATAATTGACATTTTCGTGACGCTTCTGATTGCTTCGAGTTATTATACCTCCAATGAATGTATTATGAGCCCAACTCAATTTTTATTACTCTTTTATTACTTCGGGTTATTTTGACCCAATGGGTATATAGTAATACGGGGTAATCAAAATTTTGACTGAGCTTTTATATAGCCGCATTTGTCAATACGTTTTTTTCAAACTAATCGATGAGTAATAGAAATTTTGCTTTATAAAGTAGTTTGTGTGAATACCTATATAGTCAAAAAGTAACCAGAAAGTCAAATAAGCTTCTACCAAGTTATATTTTTTCAACAATTCCTCTAAGTAATCTAGAAAGTAATCAACAATGTTTTTTGAGCTTCTATCATATAAATTGTAATCTTAATATGTCGAAGTAATTAGAAGTGTAAGCCATATGCCCACTAAGCTCTAAATAAAGTCAGATGTGCGGATAATAGTGCGAAGAAATCAAAACAGTAATCACAAACTGCAATTGCACTTATACATTATGAATTGTATCAATAATAAGTAAAAGTATAAAGAGTAAACAAAACTCAAATTGAGCTAAATTAAAGTAGAGTGCGCCACTAATAAGTGGAGGTTGCCAACATAGTAATCAACATGTCACTTAAGCTACGTCAATCGGACGACTAATAACTTGAAATAGCCGAAATAGTGATCAAAATATCAGTTGTCCTCAACAAAATCAAGTTTTATAAACAATTACTCTAAGTTATTACAAGTATAAGCGAAACTCACCCACTGAAAATAAATAAGAACATGTATAAGTTGGGGAATAAATTGATTGCCGGACGGACAA